GAGGGAGAGTCCCCCTCCCTACGACCATGTGTCAGGGGCGGAAAATGGCCGCAGACCACGTCAGGGGCAGAAAATGGCCGCGGACCATGTGTCAGGGGCGGAAAATGGCTGCGGACCGTGTCATGGGAGGGAAAATGGCCGCATATCCTGTTTGTACCCTGAGGCGGAGTTCGCAAACCAAGGCAAAATTTTGCGGCTGGAGCTGGTCGTAACCTGAAAAGTTCATTAACAGAAGCGTTCGTAACCCGAGGTTCCACTGTACATGGGTGAGGCCTCCTACTCCTCCTTCCCTCATAGACCTCCCTCACCTGGAAGCCTTTCCATCCTGCCTCCAAACACCGATCTCACTCTCCTCAAGGCTCACCCCTGAAAAACATCCCCAATGAGAACCACCTTGGGGCTGAGCAGTTTGCATGCACTCCAGTTCAAGAGACAGGAGGCGGAGCCATGCGGACTTCCTGGCACCCCAAATAGTGGACTCATGGAAGGATACAACTTCTGGATGAGGTCATAGGCATGCTTGTAATTCTGAGTGAGGAAGCATAAGGAGACGGTGGTGACGGGATTGTGACACCAGGAGCGGTAGAGACAGCAGAAGAGATTGCGGCTTTCCTGGAGAGACAAAGCATTTGGGGGAACCGAGGAGAAAAAATCACTTGCAGCACAATTCTGCTTAAGTTTTGCACTTCTCCAAATGTTCCAATGTGGTTCTCCAGTCCCCAAATTGCATACACTTGGAAGAAACAGCTTGGAAAACAAAACTGAGGGCAAAGCAACATACAAAAATGTCTAGGATATTTTATGCAAATTCACACTTTAACGTTTTCAGTAAACTGATACTGAAACAGTATTGAACAAACTTTACCTCCGCAACTGTGAAAACTGTAAGAAGGAAAAATAAAACTTCCCCAGCAGAGAAGCCAGCTCTCTCATGCCAAGGAGCTGCCCTGAGCCCACTCGGCTTCTGCTGGGCCTCTGGGCTTTGCTGGCTGAGACTGAAGGTGCAGCAGCGTGGGAAGGAGGGAGGGAGCAGCTGCTGAGTTTGCATCTCCCACTAAGCCCCAGCCCAGAGGAGGTTTGTGGAAGAGGCACAGCATCGCCCTTTTCAAACATTCGCCTCTGTGATGCATTGAGATCAGCTACTGGCAGTCAAAGACTACCCCCTTCCCAGCAACCCACTAAGTGCTCCCTACGTGGCCCTCCTCTGCACTAATGGAGGATGATGACTTGATGTTTTCCATGAGATTCTTGGGGCTGAAAGAGCAGGAAAACTGGTTGGGTCAAGCAGCTCCAAGGGAACTAGTTTTCACTGCTGACCTCAGTTCAACATATTTGGAACTACTGTCCAAAGGCTGACTCTCTCAAAATTTCATGTCAGGGTCAAGATGCTTCTTTGGAAGCCCTGGACAAGGAGGCAGCCAGACTGGGGTTCTGGCTTTTGGAACTGACCGCTTCCCTCCTTCCAGTAGTGACTGCAGCATAATAAGAGAGCCCTAAACAGATCTATTTAGAGATGGGGGCGGGGGTCAACTTAGGAAGCTGAGTTTATACAAGTGATGGGCTGGGAGGGGAACCCCTCTGCAGTGCCCATGGAGGTCAAATGGGGGCAGCCTTGCTTCTGGTACAGGAAAGTCTTTCTCCAACCTACCAGGGTCTTCAGATCCTTGAGTTGATTCCTCAGCTGGAAGAGCTCAGAAGAAGTCAGAAGAATGGTGTTGAGGGTGTGGACCATGGTGGAAGCAAAGCGGAGGTCCTCCTCCCGCAAGAGGATATCTGCCATGGAGTGGAAGATGTTCTCTGCATTCAAGAGCAGGCAGAGCTGCCTGCGAGACACCAAGAAACACAGCTCTCAATTTTAAATACTGTGGGTGCAAGCTATCCCTTGGTTTGGAGAGAAGATAAGCACAAAATGGAAGAGCTCCTTTGCATCTGGCAAAGGACAAAGATGGAACTGTTTGTTCTACAGAGTGTGTTCTGCTTTTGCCTCTTTCACCTGGGCTACCTCCAAACCTCTGTTGCCAACCTCATTAAAGAGACACCAAGAGCCGAGAGTTTCTCTCCCTTCCTGATTCTCACTGTGGGACCCACCAAGGCTGCTGTCTCCTCACTGCTGTCCCACCAGCCCTACCTGGAATTTGCACAAAAGGAAGGCGAAGGCAGCCAGACTTCTAGGTACATCTCAGTAGGAAAAGGAGCCTTGCACGTTGCATTACCACCTTATTCAACTCCCCACTTATGCCGTTAACTGCTTTTCCCAGCTCCTCCTGGCCTTGCAGGAGGTACGTGGTCCTGTCCGGCCAAAAGAGAAGGTGCTCCAGACACCAGAAGGGCCCTGCAGAGAAGAGGGCTCTGGGCCAAGCTGCTTCCAGGAGAGGAAATGAGCGGAGGTGCCCCTGGGTGGCTCCCCCACCCGAGGCCCAAATGTTCCTCTTAGGCAACCTGTGGCCCCCTCCCTCTCGACAGCCAGCTTCCTCCTTTCTGGGTGTTCAGTAGGCTGATTCCAGATCTTGTGTCTTTCTGCTGGTGCCCAGCCCTGCTGCTTTCCAGAGGCTGGAATACCCTCAAGGGCACCCCGGAAAGACCTGATCCGTTTCCTCTTTCCGATTTCCCAAAGCCCCAGACCTGACCCATTTCCAGCACTCACTGAGAGGCCTATCTTGCAGTCCGCCGATACCCCCAAGCCAAAACAACATAGAAACAATTCCTCCCCCTTAAGCAGCCATGAAAAGGGCAACATCAGACCGAGGGCTGGAGCAGGTCTGGATCAGCACCCAACAGGCTGTTACCACAGGGAGAATGTCAAGATTAGAAACCACCAAGTAGAGAATATGCCTCTCTCTGGCCCAGCTCAAAACTGAAACATGAGGGCAATGAAGGCACTCCAGAGTGAGAAGTGACACTGCATACATCCCACAATCCAAACAGCTTTTACACTGTGCACAATTATTAGGCAAGTGAGTATTTTGACCATGTCATCATTTTATGCATATTTTCCACCTCCAAGCTGTATAAACCTGAATGCTTATTGGATATAAGCGTATCAGGTGATGTA